TAGCAGATGTTATAACAAGGAAATATATATATATTTTTTTTCAACAACAACAACAAAGCAATTAGCATAATGTGCTTATGAAAGCACTTTGAAGCACAGTTGGCAAAATCCTATAATGAGTGCATTATTTGCATAAAATACAGTATATATTCTGTTTCTTTTGGTTTTCTGATTATTAAACTGTGTGTGGAAGAACAGGATTTAGTGGACCATGCTAAATCTTTAGTAATTCTACTCTCTAAATCTTATTCTGCCTTTGTTCCTTAATCTTTGATAATTATGACAAATAAGAGCACAAATACAAAAAATTGAGAAAGCAAAACAAGATATTCTGAAGTCAACAACTATACAAACTTCCTTAGAATGAAAATGACACTTTAAGGGTCCTTAAATACATGTTTGCTTGTTGGCTGGTGCTTGGCTGCTAACCAAGGGGCTGAGGGTTTGATTTAACCAGGGGCATCTCAGAAGAAAGTCCTGGTGATCTACTTCTGAAAAGCCATTCAAATGTTATAGAACAGAGTTGAAATCAACGCAACAGCAATTTGCTGTTGTTTAGAAATACAAGGTAGAGTCCCTGGGTGGAAACAATTAGTGTGCTCAACTGCTAATCAGATGGTTGGAAATTTGAGTTCACCCAGAGCTGTCTCTAAATAAAGGTTTGGAGGTCTGCTTCTGGAAGAACAGCCATTGAAAATCCAATGGACCATATTTCTACTTTGATGCACATGGGGTCACCATGAGTTGGAATGAACTTGGCAGCAACTTTTTTTTTTTTTTTTTTTAACATACTATATGTGACACATAAGCTCAAACTATTTTATAGTCATTCAGCTTATTAAAAAATATCGATGCAGAACTGTTAAAAATAAAACCATACCAAACAAAGCTAAGATTCCAACATCTTGCTTCCACTATCTGACTCTACTTACTGTTTATCTATCTTGATTCTAGGTGGTGCATTCCAGAGAGTTGAAATGAGGCAAAATAAAAGATCACTTGATGGAGATTTTTCTCAGACACTTAACTTACCCTTCCAGCCTCCAACCTACTGCTTGTTATCAGAGATGAGGGAAAAGCATGGAACTCTGGGAGAATGTTTTATATAACGTTTCCACCATCACCACCACGAGCAGCTCATTCCTTTCACTGAAGAGCAGTAGTGTGAGTACTTGGAGACTCTCCAGCTCTAATCTGTGATTGGTTGAGGTTTGGGCCCTTGACCAACCTGGGTCAGTCATGGTCTCTGCTGAAGGATACCAGATGAAATAAAGGATGTTCATTCCTCAGATAAACAAGGAATACTTTTTAGTATAATACTGATACATACTGAGACACCATGCCATTTTCCCCAGATCTGGCAATGGTGGTGGTGGTGATAATGTGCCGTGGAGTTGGTTCAGACTCATAGGGACCCTCTACAGTGTTTCCAAGGCTGTAAATCTTTACGGGAGCAGAAAGCCTCATCTTTCTCCTGAGGAACAGCTGGTAGTTTCGAACTGCTGACCTTGTGGTTCGCAGCCCAATTTGTAACTACTACGCTACCAGATCTGGCAATAGTAGCTGCAAATGCATACAGGCTTTCCCAGGTTCCCTATCTTGTTACAAATGCTTTATAAATCCTAACTCACTTAATACACAAATATACAAGGGGGCTTCAAAAAGTTCATGGAAAAAAATCCATTACGTTTTCATTCAATTTTTCCATGAACCTTTTGAAGTCCCCACGTATATATAGCTATATAAACATATGCTATATGGATGACTGGAGTCCTGGTGTGGTGCTGTGGGTTAATGCGTCAGACCGCAAAGCCATTTGAACTGCCAGGTTGGAGGTTCAAGCTCACCAGCTGCTCCTCGGAAACCCTATACAGGGTTGCTATGGGTCAGAACCAACTAAGCAGCACTTAACAACAACAACAACAACAATATGGTTTGTTTAAGACTATATATTTTAGTTTTTATAAATTATGCAAAATTTTCTATAGTTGGCAGTCCCTAGATGATAAAAACTGTGGTTGGACCTTTAACTCCACCCAGAGGCACCTTGAAAGAAAGGTGTGACAATCAACATCCCAAACTGTAGCCACTGAAGACCCTATGGAGCACAGTTCTACTCTGACACACACAAGAACACAACATGTCAGAGCAGACTGGGCAGTAGCTAGGGCTGGTACTGGCGCTCCTATAATTAAAATGCTTAATGAGCTGCCATCATTGAGCTGCAGGTATCTATGTGAAAAATACACAGTGAAAAGCAGACAATTAGTAACGTAAAACAATCGATTTAGAGTCGGGTGGTGGTGGTGGTGGTGTCTAGATTTTAGTCCCTGCTCGCTAACTAGCCTTGAGGAGGGGTTGAGGGGGACAATTTCCCTCAACTCTTTGAATCTTGGTTTCCTACCTGTAAAATGAGATTTAGAAGACTTTGTATCTTAGATGTCTGTGTTGCCTCTAAAATTAGATGATTTCTTCTAATATGGAAAGAGATCTTGCAGAGCAAATTTTATTACCTCTGCAATCATTCTGTTGGTGTCTCCTAGGAAAAGCAGGTTCAGAGCTTCTTCCTCTGTGGTTGCCTGGTGAAGAGACAGGTTTTTCAGGTGAATGTTCTGATCCGGGTCCTCCAATATTGTCACTTTCCTAGGGAAACGGGAAGTAAGACAAAGTACTGCTGAGAACGATAAGAACTTGGTATCCTTCCTCCGGGATTACTTTTTCAAAAGCTGTATAGTATGACGTCTTGAACTTATAAAACTGAATAATACAAAGATACCAGACAGCACTGAATTAGCATCAATATGCCAATTCCCTTGATAGTATTAACAAAAGCTTTGGGGCCGAAAGTTGTATCACGTGCTTGCGTTCTAACACCACCTGTCTTTGTAATCATCAGATTCATAAATCATCTTAAAAGGCCTATTCTTCCTGAATTACAATGCAAAGAGATAATAATCTTTTATCCATCTATTAGGAAATGAGGTAGTATCATTGTGTTTGCATCATAATTCAGTTTCTTATATAGATAGTGCATTAATCCTTCTCTCGCTAACGTTTCCCTATTGTTCAATTTCAAATGACATTTCAAACTGGTTAGCTCATCCGTAACGTAAACACGATGGAAATAGAGGTAGGGGGTCATCCAGCTAGGAGTCTGTCTGTTTTTCTCATCCAAGTGAATAATAAAAAGTATATATATCGCATGAAGCCTCGTGAGAAAGTTTTAGTTTGTCATTATATTCGACTGCTCAGCAAGAAGTATGTCACCTTTATCTTGTTTTCCTTTACAATATAGTTTTTCCTTCCATTTCATTCTTAGAGTCAGAATCTTAGGTCTGGAATCACATTCAGTTATTTAAACTGCCTTAATGCGCATTCTGTGGTCAGCACCAGCTCTGTCCCAGGTGAATACTAACCCCATTTCTAGAGCTGTCTTGTCAAGAGGCTCCTTTTAAGTCTTTTTAGGACTTTGTGCAACTGAACAAAATCTGGCCAAGTTCCTCATACTCTACTTCAAAGGTTTACAGATCTGAGCCATAAAATTACCAGAGAGAGTTTCCTTCTGAATGTCTTAAAATCTGCTAAGGAAAGGGGATCTTATAATTCACAAAGATGGCCAAAGAGTATCCATCTATAGGTGTCTTTCTTTGCTTATGACATTTGGAACTAATGATGATAGCTAAATGTTTGCGTCCTCTAGGACTGCGTCACCCTCTAAAGTAGAACTAGCAAACGAACAGCTATCACTTGCTCATTTCTAAGAACATATGTAGAATGTCTTAAAAATGAAGATTTGGACATACCATGATTTTTGTATCCTTCCCTTTTGTAAAGAGGTGACCTGAACGTTCATACGTAATTTGCGGGCGCTTAAAATATTAACTGCCCGAAGACAATGAAGCTATGCCAGCACATCTGTGACCAATATGTCATTAACAGTGGACTCCTCTGCCAAGTTCTGGACTTCTCTTTGTCTCTTTCAACAATACCAGCTAAGACGGAAAAAAATATTTCTTTGCTTAATGAAAACAAGCAACTTATTTCTTTTTCAACAGGACTCATAATTGAGCTCATTTAAAATACTCAATAGTTCAAAAATGTTTGGAAAACAGGAAAGCATTTTGAACTAAAATGGATGAATTGTCTTCTATTTTTAGGAACTCCTTTTACTCCATTCCTTAAACTTTATTTCCACCCTGATCCTTCTAAAATGCTCAAGAAGCAAAAGTATGGTGACATTCAAACTCAAGAGGCATAGAAGTCAGAATTCTTCCTAAATCTACAGGTTTGGAGGCTTAAAAGTGGAAGAAGTTAAGTAATATTGGAAGGAAGATAAAGGCATGAAATCTGTGATGGAAAACTACACTGAGAGCAAGAGTAGAGTTCTGTGTTTCTCAACACAAAGTCAAAACTCAGCAATCAAGTAGGTAATGATAGATGTTGTAAGGCTGAGGCAGTTACAGTCCTATTCCTGTGCAAGTTCAGGAAAGGGAGAGGGAAGGCAGTGCTGAAGGGTTCAAAGAAGTGCTCACACTGATGAGCATTAACCCAGGAGCATCGGGATTTCCTGGCTGCACATAAGAACCGGAGAACTGGGGGTACCTAGTTGGCACTCTAAGAGATTCTGATTTGATTCGTGTGTGGCCTCTGTGTCAGGAATTTCAAGAGCTGACTCTATTGTGCAGCTAAGGTTTTGAACCGATGACTTCATTGTTAATAACTCTATGAAGTAGAAGTATGCGGAGAAGGATTCTGGTGGCTTTATTTTTATCTTTCACTCAGCTCCACTCCATTCTCAAAGGGGAAACTTACTCATCTTGATGGCTGTCACCTAAAACTGGGGGTTATGGATCTATTTAAACATCCACAGGGTTTATACCACTGCTATATCAGAAAAATTAAGTAAGAGTAAGGGCACATCATAACAGACCTCTTACTGCTATTTCACTGAAATAGCAAACAAGCAAGTATGGGATTCTAAGAGTGTTCACTCATTAGACAACTTAATTGAGTCACTGATTTAGGATTATATTTTACATAGAATAATTAGAAAGATTTTGGTAGAAAGTGTCAAATGTCATCAATGACATTTGGCTAAGCTACTTTTTCTTTAAAGCAGTCAGAGCTTTAGATCTCCAGTGTGGCAATTTCAGAACTATTACACGTCTACATTGACTTCCACATGCTTGCCCCATTTTATCACTCCAAATACAATTTGTACACACCTCCAGGTTTTCTGCATAGAATTTTCTGTTGTCTTTATTATTATTATTATTATTACTATTTAAGTTTTTATTGTGAATTGAGTGTTAGTTTACATGGGAGAACATAGGTTTTATACTAATCCTTTCATATTTTGTTTCATTGCAGATTGCAATCCCCTCTAGCCATGCATTATCATTCAACAGTATTTGCCTCTATTCCCTCTTTTTTTTGGGATGTACACAAAAACAGTCAGGAATATATAATCATTTAAACAACCAAAAGACACATTCTGCAAGCCTGCCTCCTGGCTGCCAGCACACAGCCTTTCTCTTTCCATGACTCTGAAGTCCTCAGCTGCTCTATCTCTCTGTCATTCCATTGTCTTTTGAAACATATCTCTGTTTGTTTTCATTGGTTTTCTGATACCATGTTTCCCTCAGTATTTTCTGACTATTTGCCCATGGAAGGTTTGAAAAGCAAATGAAAAGGCAGATTGGGTTCCAACTAACTTGGCTGCTTTTATTGTCCTCACTCTGCTTGGGTCTCATCCATTGTTGTTGTTGTGTGCCAGGGAGTCGGTTCCGACTCATAGCCACACTCTATAGGGTTTCCAAGGAGCAGCTGGTGAGCTTGAACCACCGAACTTGTGGTTCAAATCAACTTTGCAGTCCACTGCATTAGCCCGCAGTGCCACACAAGGACTCCAGGTCTCATCCATAGGCACCCTATACACAGTTCCATTGCTGTTATCTACCTGGAATCTTGTGATACTCAACCCTTTTCCACTCAGAGTCCTTGTTGCCATTCCTTCCCAGACAGCTCTCTTCTTTCCTGGTTTCTGCCCAATACCCTGAGTATGAAGACTTGGGCTTTTCCTTAGTGGCCTCCTGCATTAAGCCTTGTAGTCTGGTGTCTGCCCTGCCCACTCCCTAGCCTGGATGCATAGAAATCTAGCCTGAGCTAGTCCTAGGTACTCCCCCTTGCCTAGGAGGGCTGTTTGGAGAGTGAAAACCTTTTAAACTGTGATGCTGGGTTTTTTTGTGTCTGCTTTTTTGCTGTTTTTGTGTGTGTGTGTTTAAGTTGGAGGACAAGGTTGCTTCCTTCCTGGGTTCAGCCCTGGTGTCCTCCTCCTCCTCTTCCTTCTCTGTCTCTGAAAATCAGTAGCCATTTCCTGAGTCCTTAAGCCCCAACTTGGTTCTGACTGTAATTTATATGAGTTTACAAGAGGGCTTTAGTAGAGTTTCTTAAATAAACATCCTCATTCCAAGATGGAAACCCCCCAAACTATTTATTTGATTTTTTGTGAAAAGGCCTGTGAATAGTTTTTCCTACAAAATGTTTCTAAAACGTTTGGATTTCAAGCAAGAAGTCACTGATAGTCTTAACTTGGACACCTAAGTGGAAAAGTTCTGCTGAGTACACTCGGCCTGCTTCATGATGGGGAAGAGGCACGGTTTGTGTTTTCTCTGTAAACATAGAATCGTTTCCATTTGACAAAGCAGTTGGAATTTGTAGGTTCTTTCTGACTGACTGGAAGACATACATAGAGCAGTAGCCAAGTTTTTGTTCTCAAGAATGGAAATTTTTTCCTTATATCAGGACAGTCATCAATGAAGGAAACCTGCCACCACCACCACCCAACACCACCGCCCAACACCCTACCTCCACAATATTCCATCACCACCAACGTGTTGCACAGGAACTTTTCAAGAGATACTGTAAAGAGTATGGCTTCTCGTGCCCATAGAGCCAAGTGTTGCCATGGTGATCTCTGTTTTTTGTCTACTTGCACATGCCTTGTATGATTGTGCAATCTGTGCAATGCCCAATGGTACCATGTCTGACGGGCAAATGTCTGTCAGATGGCAGTAAAGTAACAAAGTCACCACTTGAGGACAATTTTCCAAATGATGGCAGGGATAGCATGCTGACTACAAGCAAGGCTGTCTAATTAGCTTGACTTAGGGAACTATCAAAGTAGGCCCAAACCAAACCAAACCCACTGCCATGGAGTTGACTCTGAAATGCAGAGGGTTTCTGAGACTGTAAATATTTACAGGAACAGACAGTCTCATCTTTTTGCCATGGAGTGAGTGACTGGTGGGTTTGAACCGCCAACCTTGCAGTCCCACATGGAAGGTGGTCCACCAGGCTGTTTTACTTAGGCATGTTTCACATGGGAACACATCCCTATCACTTGTTTTAATAATGAGAATATTCTTTGACTTAGGGGTTTTCTCAACTGATTTCGCCCCCCTCCCAAAAAAAAACCATATTCTAACCACAGTAACAAAAGCTATCTGTGGTGAAGTTACAGGGAGAAAGATAAGATGTAAAGTTTCATACGGAGTAATTATGAAAACTTGTGTTATAGTGAAGCAATCTTAAAGGCAGATTTTCTTTAGATTGATAAAAATAAGATTTTGGAAGGTTTACTC